CAGCATCAGAATACACGTTTTTCTCAGCAGCACATGCAACATTTTCTATAATAGACCACATTTTAGGCCACAAAGCAAACTTGTCCAAATTCAGAAACATTGAAGTTATACCTTGGATTCTCTCTGACCACAAGGGAATAAAATTAGAACTCAACACCAAAAGCCACCAAAGAAAGTCTGGTATCACATGGAGGCTGAACAACACACTGCTGAATCATGAGTGGGTCATGGAAGAGATTAGAAAGGAAATTCAAATGTTCATGCTATTCAATAAAAATGAACACACAAACTACCAGCTCCTCTGCGACACAGCAAAAACAGTACTCAGATACAAGTTTATAGCTCTGAGCTCCTATATCAACAAATTGGAGAGATCTGAAACTAACAATTTAATGACACATCTAAACGTCCTTGAAAAAGAGCAGCAAGATAAAACCCAATCCAGTAGACAGAAAGAAATAATTAAAATTAAATCAGAATTAAATGAATTAGAATCCAAAAAAACTATAGAAAGAATCAACAAAACAAAGAGTTGGTTCTTCAAAAAAATTAAAAATTGACAGACCCTTAGCAAATCTTATCAGAAAAAGAAGAGAACACACCCAAATAAATAAACTCAGAGACGAGAATGGAAACATCACCACAGAAACAACCAATATTCAAAACATTATAAGGGAATACTTCTCAAAACTTTATGCTATAAGTTTGAGAACTTGACAGAAATGGACCTTTTCTTAGCAAATATTGACATGCCAAAACTAAAACAAGATGAGTTAAACCAGCTCAACAGGCCCATATCAAGCGTTGAAATAGAAACAGCAATAAGAGACCTCCCAGCTAAGAAAAGTCCAGGACCAGATGTTTTTACAGCGGAATTCTACAAGGCCATCAAAGCAGAGCTCACACCAACACTACTCCAACTCTTCAATGAAATTGAAAGAGAAAGCTCACTACCGAACACATTCTATGAAGCCATCACAACCCTCATTCCAAAACCAGGCAGGGACTCATCAAAGAAAGAGAACTATAGACCCATTTCTTTGATGAACATTGATGCAAAACATCTCAACAAAATATTGGCCAACCAACTTCAACAATTCATCCAAAAAATCATACACCATGATCAAACAGGATTCATTTCAGGGATGCAAAGCTGGTTCAATATACTCAAATCAATT